GATTTTGTTGCGTTACTAAAGCTGGTTTCATTTCGTCGCCATTTAAAGGACTTCCTCTCAATCGGAGAATCTTTAGCGAGGATTGGCAAGTGGGATACGAATGAAGATCGAATCGCAGAGAACAATAAGAGTGGTTGAATGAAAGAGGCGCCAGAGGACCACTGCTTCTCCTGTAATTCTCGTCTTCGATTCCTCCTCCCAATGGTGGCGGGTCCCGAAACTCCTTCTATATAACAAGGATTCCATCCAGAATATTTAGGAATTCATGACAAATAAATAAGTCCATCCACGCCTCTGACAGTTCTCGAAAATATTCATGAACATCCGGGACACTTTAGTAAGCTTGCCTAAACGAAAACAAGTACTGTAAAATCTTAAACAATTGAAACCGTGTGTGCTACTGTATGTAGTCGGAAATTTCCTATTTTGGAAATGGGGCGAAAGGCACAGCAATGTTCAGAAAAAGAAAGCCTGCTCGGCCCCCTCTGAGAAACTTAAAAAAACTAAAGACCTTACCAGAGGAGGCAACTCCAACACTCACTATTTTTTTATTTGAGATTCTGAGGTATGCAGCCAGAAACGGCATTCATGCATGCGGTATGATAACCTACAAGTATCGTGAGGCTCAAACCCTAGTTTGTGGAAGAGGGCTGCGACTTCCGGATCTCATGGGAACGATGAGGAACACTTGTTGCTTCGCTGCCCCAGGTTTTCATTTGCATTGATGCGATCGACGAATGCCTACCGAAGCATCTACCAGGGCTTCGTAAACTCAGGGATATTGTCCGGGAGTCCCCTAGGACGCGGATATTCCTCACCGACCTTATGTCGAGGAAAATGTTCACAGATGTTTCACCAAGGTGGCTGTGATACATATTGACCCTAACACAAATGACATTAGGATTTATCTGGAGACGAGGTTGGGCAGGATCTGATATGTAGGAGCATTTATCATTCCCCCTCTATCATGGATTAATACTAACCCAGATTTTGTGTATATTCCGCCTTGTTTCCCTAAAATTTGATGATATTTTGGGAGAGGTGACCATTTTTATTCGGAGAAGGAAGAAGATTGAAGAGATGACAAAGGGCAATGGGCTGAGTGATGTCAAGACGGCAACTCTAACCCGACTGAAGGCACAGAAGGGAAACAAATCGATGCTCGGACCTGAGGTGCTGATGTGTGTGTCTTATTCAGAACGGCAATTACGAGCCGCGAAGGTGGGACCCATGGATCTAGATGTCGATAACGTTCTCGCGCTAAGAAGGCTCCTAGAATCTTGACTAGGTCTTGTCACGGTCTAGGTATCTTCGTCCACCGTCCGACAGGTGCACTCCACTCTCCAAGAACATCTCGCTAGTGATTCAAACCTATTCCACAGTCCCCACTCAACGATTGCGGAGGTTTGCTTAACATACCTCAATTTTGAGTGCGTCCGGAGTCTCCCGCCAACACTTTACTAGGTTCCCGCAACAGCGCCACTTCTAGAATATGCCTCTCGCTACCAGGAGGAGCACACAAGAAGGGGAATGACAAAAATGCCAAAGCGCTTGCACTGAGACTTCTGTCATTCGCTAATCATTTGTTGGGCGCGATAATTGGGACCTGAATATAGATGCCCGAAGATGTCCTTGTATGATGCGGAGTTTCCACTTGTTGGGACTATGTTTCTTCCTCCCTCCATATACCAACCCCGCACTAACAATTTTTTCCAGAGTACATGAGAGGCTTAGTAATACTATGATAGTTCACTCGGTAGATAAGCCCCGCGATGTCCCTAATCCCCTAGCTAGAAAGCATGGTAACTCTCCAGCCCCCCAAGCTCTAAAGTAGCAATTTTTTTCCATTCTTGAGAAGGGAGAGCGCAGAGAACGTTATACTATAACCCCCCACACACTATCTCGGTCACACACACCCCAACCTCTCCACCTCCGTGGAGTCGGAAATCACCCGAGCTTACATATCCCCCCTCCCCGCCCTGCGTATCTTGTGTCCAAAAAGATCTATTTGCATATACCTACACGCAGGTGCCGCACCGGGCGTAAGGCACAGTAAAGTATAGTACAGGTAAAAACCAATGCATTCCCATATTAAGCCCATTCAGTAAGAAGTCGCGCTAGAGAACATATCTGTATGACGATAAATCTTACACATAAAATATTATAGTTCAACCCACGTTGCACTGTACAGTACTGTATAATACTTGCACTCACACGTATCTGCCTCTACCGCGATAACAGGTAATATAGCACCTTACTCACTCCCGGGTTATGCGTGTTTTGCATTGTGACAAACCCGTCGAGTCTACCCACTCCTGAGAAGAGGTGGAAGAAGCGCAAAGTCCGTCACGGGTCATAATCTAGAAGGTGAATTTTAATGTTTTGGCGGATACGATGGGATAGAGTTGTGAATGTCGAATGAAACGCCGGGGGATGCGGGATTTCAAAAAGAAATAAAAAAAAATACCTTGCTTGGTGTTCGAGATTGAGGATTTGGTGAGTGCTCTCATTTATCATACCCGCCAGACTATGGATTTTTTTGATTTTTTTTTGGAGGCGGGGAGTGGAGCGTGATTCAGTCTCGGTCCGAATCTGCGGGTTTGCCGTTGCATTCTTGGAGTCTTCGGCGCTGAGCATACCCCCAGCGAGAATCCTTACGTTACAAGCTAACTCAGACCACATGTATTCCTACCAGTCACTCGCCAGAAGCGTTCGCGAAAGATGCTTCACATTTCTAAGCTTCTCCCTCTCGAAAAATAAAACCCGCCTTCAGCTCAACGCAATTGACCGTGTCTAAGGCCCCTTATCTAGTAGTTCTAACAACCGGCGCAATGGCTCCGGAGGCAACAAGAAATTCACGAAAAACCCTCGTCAACGGCAGTCATGACTCTTGCGGATATCTCTCTACCCCCTCCTTTCTGCTGCAGCATACATTTCGAGATTCATTGCCGGTTACAGAGAGGGAGAATGAGTCCCGGTCATACCACCCTTTTTTTTGGGACCCTCGACAAATAGCACCGCGGTACGGTTAGCGGAATGGGATGGGAATTGAGCAGTATGGAGTAACTCTCTAATGACTAACCAGCGATAACTATGATAGTCTAAATCAAAACTGCTCAAGCGAATCATCTCCACGCGCCTAGCCAGCTAGATATCCGTATTCCGACAAGTAAATTTACTAGACTGGGCAGAAACTGCAACCGCCACCGCCACCAGTACCAGTTTTGCCACCGTGAAATCTGCAGGATGAATAAATTAGTCAAGTTAAGGAGGGTTATACATCAGGCTCGGTAGCACGCTATCATAATGTCAGACTCGTGGATGCCCACGCCATCGATTATAACTAGGAGGGCATGGCCACAATATGGGTCTTCATGCATTCAAGCCAGATTGTTTCTACGGTATTCTGAGAACTACGACCCCCTCACCATCCCACGCAAGAGGTCTTCTACGACACTGGTAGTAAGAGAGGGTAACGATAATTATTCATTTATCATAGCAAACATCTCTTGTCTACTAACCCAGCGGATATTTTTAGTACTTGTTCTTTCGCAGCTGTGCGAGGATTGACGCCGATGCTAGTGAAAGACACAGCGTCAAATGTGACTATCGGTCTTTGGGTAAACTTCTGTTCCGTGGGCATTAGGACGAGTATCCACTCCGCGTCGTGCGATTCGGAGATTCCATCATGGAGATTTACACCCCTTTGTCTTTTCCGGTCTGCCCCAAAGTACTCCGGTGGTGTGTAGGTCGCAGCCGCGTATCTGATATCCTCATAGCAAGGGTTTTATTTTCCTTTCACCTCTCTCCCGATATCTTTCTGTTTTCGTCGGAATAGTTGCGAGCAAAGATATTGAAAAGAAGCTCTGGATAATTCCCACTACGGCCAGTGGATAGGCAATTACCAACGAGTCTGGGTTGATATATTTGATGACGAAATTTTTAAGCTCATATGTATAATCGATCTTAGAAGATGGCGTACAAATAGTGTGCTTTCCCCCAGGTACCAATACCACATATCTACATAGAACCCCCCCCCCCAGAAGCGCGTACCTATAAAGGCCCTCAACCCCACAGCGCTCTCGCTTTGTATCCTCCGTCACCAACTCCCATGCCCAGAGTATCTACCTTATGAGAAGCAACTTATCTTTGAACTCTTCCCTCTCCTCAGACCGGAAACTCCCTTCTCAGCGCCTTCAGAAAACCTTTCCCGACACCACAATCACACTTGTAGCCGGTAGACAGTGTGATAACTTGGACAGAATGCGCCCACGACCATCGCGGTTTGTGGAAAGTGGTGGGTGGATTGATCTCTCTCGATGTTCATAGGAGTGGCTTGCTGCGAGTGGGTAGAGTGTGGGGGGGGCACGTGCCGTGTCAGCATTTCATTACCAACGACTATATACCACGGCCCCATCATGCCTTACCATATTTCATCAACGTTGTCCCTTTCCCCTTCCTCCCTCAGGTTCACCCCAGATCTTGGTAGAAACTTTACTACCCTCGAGGGCAACACCCATTCCACTCTTTCGAAGAAAAGCAGAAAAAACCCCATGTCCATCTCTAAAGGAAGTGCTTCAGATAGACTCTTTAGATTACTTGTAACTCCTTCTCATTTTTTATGCAAATCACAATTTCCCAATCTCCACATACTCTCTCTCCATGAATCACACCATCCCAACCGAAGCATTGCACCAAAAATAGAAGTGCAAACGAGATGTACTAAATGGTCGACAAAAATTGATAAATAAATGTGAAAAATGGAGACTCCAGATGATAATGCCCTACCCAATGCATGCAAAAACAAAATTTATAACACAAGGAAAATGATGTCGTAGGATGGGAAAGAACAGATAAAAGAAAAAACCTAGTAAACGCAACAGAAGTATGCAAAACAAATGAAATGTTCCAAAGTATTTGGCGTGAGTAATCGTAATACCCCTCCCCCCATTTCCTCCACCTTGCTCGCTTTCCCAATGGCCACCAAAAGCAAGAAAGATTCACAACCTAGCCCGGTCCTTAACCTCCGGCAACTTCTCTCCAAATACGGCCCAACAATCTGCGCGCGCCCGCTTCTCAACCTCTGCTTCAAGAACCCCGTACTCCCCCCAAGCGCCCCAAATACCAGCCTTTTCTAGGACCCAGCGCCTAGCAAACTCCACCGCAGTCCTCTCCCCATCCCTCCTGGCGTCAACAATAAGCAGAACACCACACAACACCCAGCCAAGAGTCCACAAGACTACCCGCCCACCAGAAGTCAATTCCTCCTTGCTCCTCGTCTCCAAGATCTTTTCGAACTCTTTCCATTCCTCCCATAGGGCAACTTTACACCTTTCAAGGATCTCCGCTTCAACCTCGCCTACAAGGCTAGTGGTAGCTGTAGCCGGGGAACCCAAGTTTTCTTCTACAAACTCGTTGAATGGAACCCAACCTTGTTCTTCGCCCCCCGCGCGAGATGTACGCTTTAAGCTACTAATAAGGTCGGTGACTAGCACATTCGTTGTGCCCTCCCAGATTGAAAGTACCTGGGCGTCGCGAAGGAGGCGGGCGATGTTCAAGGGCTCCTCATTCTCGCAATACCCGACGCCGCCGAGGGATTCGGCGCATTCGGATAGGGTGCTCATAGCCAACTTTGCGGTTAGAGCTTTGGCGATGGGGGTAAGGAGACGCAGGAGTTGGTGCGGGGTCGAGGGGGTATGCAGCGGGGATGATGCGTTCGGGGATGGTGTGGATGGGGCTGCGGAGGTTTCACTGAGGGATAGGAGGTGGATTGTAAAGAATGCCAGATGGGTTGTTGCGCGCTGGTAGAGCTCGAGATGTGCTAACGTGCGGAGGTGAAGGGGGATCGTCCAGAGGGGCCGGTTCCTTGCGACTACACGGACTTTTGAGAATGCCTATTTGCTTGAATATAAGTTGTGCGTTTGGGGATTTAGGATGACGAGTTGGGCAAACCTTCGCTATGGCTAGACCCCTTCGCATAAAGCTGATGGCACTAACAGCGTTATGAACGCGAGTAATATTCAGCACCGTTGCTATCTGCTTAATACCCTCGCCTTCCTCACCAATCATCCATGCCCTCATTCCTTTAAGCTCTAATTCCGCTGTTGGCAGAGCCCTAGTCCCCAGCTTCCTCTTCAACCGCATTATCCTCACACCATTCCTCTCACCGTTCGCCAATCTCATGGGCGCATAGAATGCACTGGGTTTACCGCCCCCACCAGGAGTCCTCGCAAGGAGGATGGTCATATCCGCATCTGTGGCCGACGAAAAAAATTTGTAACCATCAATGACCCATGGCCCCAACTCCTCGGTGCCATCTTCTATCTGCGAAGACGGCGCGAGAGGAGAGTACACAGCCACCGTTTCGCTCCTGGAAACGTCGGAGCCACCGGATCGTTCGGTCATCCATTGACCACTAGTCCAACGGGCAGACTGGTCACGCGAGATAAGACGAAAGTGGGCGTTGTAGAATACTTGACGCTTTGCCTCTGCTTCCCTACGGGAACTCAATGAACAGTTCAGACTGAAAAATGATTGAATCGAAGTTGCCGGGTGAGGGATATGCTGCGATAGTAGACGGGCAGCACCATCTGTCATTGCAAATGGACAGGTAGTCAATGCCGAGGATGGTGAAAATATGTAGTACCTAATTCACACAACCGATTGAGTCAATTCAACCTAGAAGGATCAATGAAATAACATACTTTGCAAATTGTCCAATCCTCCCATACCGGCCCTCATACCCCTCAGCCACAATGCCCTGGTGAGCGCCAAGCTCGGCTAGCCTCCTCCACCCTTCCGAAGTTCGCAAGGTATCACTGCGGTTAGCGAATGCATCATGTGACTCCAGCGTGGGTGGGTGTGCCTCGGCATCTTCGACCCAATGCAACACTTGCGGGGAAAGAGCCGCCACAGCAAGCGAGTCGAGCTCTTTATGCAACGGCTTCAACAAAGCAGGGGGGAGGTAAACTAGCATGCCAAACCCACCCAATTAGTTTGCGAGTTTTCAAAGGCAGTTTATCAGTCCAAATAAACATGGGAGAGCGAACGTGAAAGAACCCTCTTGAGCCCTACATCTTCTTCAAACTGGTTCCCTAGACGAGGCGCGTCCTGGAAAAAGCCCGTATCCCCGGAGGATGGTCGTAAATTTGGCTGTTGCTGCGGCTGGTGGGGGTGTTGCTGTTGATTGTGCTGACTGGGATGCTGGCTCTGCGGCGGGCCAGTAAACGTCGACTTCTTTCCAGAGTTTGACATGTCGGGCCGTTGTACAGTACCTGCAGGTATATCCTATGCGTTGAAAACGAAGTCTTGGGGCTCAAGGAAATCCGAATACCACTGGGAAAGAAAAGCACACGGCAGAGTGTTGGAGGAAAGTAAATGGAAGGGGAGAGGAGGAGGGAGAGGAGAATAACAGAGAGAAAAGGAAGAGAGGGACAGGATTGTTTCCTGATTATTCGAGAAAAGGTGGTTTACCCACTACATCAAGGATTATCCCCTCCTGCTCCACGTCGCTGTCACCCGCTGCCGTGTTGTCTACTCGTACTTCGCATCGTCCGAGGCCAAAAGCCGTGATAGGAAGCCTTAGACCTCCCAACCAAAAAAAAAAAAGTCCGTCCCCGCCAGTCTAAACTTCTAAAGGACCTTCGGACGGGGAGCCAAAGCACACACATCCAACCGCCTCGTGGCTCCAATCAATGTTTCATTTGACTGGAAAGGCTGGGATAAAAAATTTTGTACTGTACCGCGCACCCGAGTCGTTTCAGAGGACCAAGCCAGGCCCGTATGGTATTTTTTTAGAAGAAAAAAAGGGAAATGTCCACTAGGCGAGGAGAGGAGCCTCAAGGCGGGCCGAAGTCACTTCATGTCACTCGAATGAGCGAATCCTAACGAGAAAAGAGTATCAACAACAACGGAGCCTTCTGTTCGCCCGTCGAGCGGGTCAGTTCACCCGGCCTGCATCCGTGGCAGCCCAAACAAACGCTCTCGATCACCAACACCTCAATGCCTTCTGCAAGAGAGAACGCTAAGCTTGGCCCAAATTAGATGGATGGGGGGGGAGTGACAGGCGGGCAAGCGCAGGAATCAAGCCAAACACATAAAAATAAAAGAAATTATGGCACCGAATTTAATAATATAAAGACTTGATGGTAAGAGTTGAAAAGAATCGTTCTTGTTTGTCCGTCCGTCACCCCGTAGACAGGAGAAGGACAAGTTCCCGGATGGAGTCCACCCACAAGAAAGTTCCTAAACCTCATTCCGACGGCACTTCCCGAGATACCCGTTCGAGGTTCATCGGGAAAACCGTTGCCCGGGAAGCCCCCGGTCCCCTCGAGCGGGGTGGGAATACCATACAGGGTTTATTTGTCACACCCAGCAGGGTATGGTTTAAGTCTAGTTTGCCAGCTGGCGAGCGGGAAGGAAGAGCAAACTGATTGCTCCTGGTAGGGTGCATGACGGCCACGATGGTTTGCTGAGTGCTCCCAAGTGCGGTAGCTCACCGCAGAGATTCCTCTGCGAAGTTATGCGTCCGTGCGTCAGACGCGAAGCGCTCCCGAATTGTTATGTCTAGTCCTGTCCAAGAGCAACTGGCAGTGGGGGCCAGTGTGAGAGAGCCAAAATGTGTTCGCGTTGTCTCGGGATATAAAAAAGCGTTCCCAAAAAAAAAATGGGTGATCTGTATTGGCGTATTCCCGAATCCGGACTTGACCCGGATTCTCGGGAATTTTTCATGGGAAAAAGGGGTGGCAGGTTGTATTCGAGTACCGTATGCCACGGAATCTTGCCTCTGAGCATTGGGTTTCTTGTGCCTTGGGGGTCCTGGAGGGGGGGGGTGGTACTCGTACCGTAGCATGGCGGTACATCTGTCCCCCACCCGAAACCGCACCCTTATTGACAAGGCAAGGTATGATATGGCGACCGGTTCAATGAAGCAAACCCTCGGATGGCCGGGGAAGTAGAATTGCCGTCTAAAAAAGGAGGAGAGTATATGGAACTCTAGTTGCACGGTACGGGTGCACCGCACCTTAGTCAACAAAGTTCTCCACCCCCATCTTCGGATACATTGGGTTCTTACTGTCATCGATATCGTCACCTACATTGGGCGAGGTGATTGTTATGAAGAGTTCTGGTAGGAATAGAAATTTGGAGCAAGGTCTTGTTTTCTTGACAAAGTCTTCGGATGGAATGCGTCAATTTTTTTCTTATATCACGAATCCAGGTTGGCTCCTATACAGCTAGCGAGAGACTCTCTGATACCAGTTGCTGCTGCTACGAATCTTTCACCAACTGGGCCAGCATGTGGTACGAAAGACACATACATACTATTTCTTTTTACTATAGACCACCCGAGTGCTCTGCTTTATTAGGACGATGTGTCAAAATATCCAAGAAGGAAGCGAAAATAAATAAAGATGAATGCTATAACTTATACTTCAAACTCTCTGAGACTCTATTGCATTTCCGCGCCACCTTCGAAATTCCCCTCTTCTCCCCCCTCTCCATCCAGAGATCTTTCCCCGCCAACACCCCGAAGGCTAAGTCCCAATCCGATCCCAGAAACCCCGCCAAACACCCCCCATGCCAACAATTCCCCTCTATTCGGTAGTCCAGCGCCGAGTGTGAACAGCCCGCCGCTAATCAATGGACCAATTGCCCTTCCGCCAGCGTTCAATGTTTGCGCTAGTCCGTTCAGGGTTCCGAGAGTCGAGGATTTCGGGGATGCATTAGTTATCAACAGCAACGCACATGTGAGACCCACGACAGCGGCTACGGTCTTCAATAGCAGGATGGAACACAGCTCAATCCATAACCATGCTTTAGTGCTCCGCTCGTTTGCCGGGTCAATGTAGCCCACGAAGGGCGTTGCACAGAATGCAGCTACGAATCCGGCGAGGGCAAAGCGGTATCCCCAGAGATTTCCCAAGTGTGATTGAAGAGGGCCGAACAAAAGTAGCTCAAAGATTATGGTGACTACGCCAGCGAAAGAGAGTGAGAGTCCTAATTCCTTCGGTGAAAGCCCGCGTCCGGTGGGTGGTGGACTTGAGAGGAAGATTGGGTATAGGGAGTTGTAGGAGGTGTTGGATAGGTTGAAGATAGCGTATGTTATTAGGAAGACGATAATTGGCGGAGTTAAGATAGAGCTGTAGGGCACGGGAGCAGTAGCCTCGGGAAAGAGAGGTGGTGGGGAAGGCAAGCCAGAACAGTCCGTCGGGTGTGGGGGTGAATCCTGCGCTCCTTCTCCTTCGTCATCAGACTCATCTCGGTGGCTTTGGGAAACACGAATGTAACTTGGCCGCGAGCTGGAAGTAAATTCCCAGAGCCAAACAAATAGGTTCTTTACACGTTCTCCAAGTGGAGGGAGCTTCCTCGCTTCCTGTAGGCTCTCGTCAAGTAGGAAGGTGGCGAATAGCAAATCTAACAATAGAACTCCGGCAGAAACAGCATTGGGGAGAAGATATGGATTTTTCCCAAACAATTTAGTGATAGGGCCAGATGGTTCGCTAGTAACAGGATGTGCGAGGACGCCACCAATCAACGGTCCAGTTATACCGCCAATTCCATACATCACCGGAAGATATTTAAAAGTTGAAGGCTGGTTCGATTTATCGGTTATTTCCCCCAGAATAGTCGAGACAATACCTAGGGTAAGGGTTAAATAAGCATGAATACAATGCAGGTGTTCCAAAATGTGGAGGGGTGACACACCAGCATTGCCGTTGACCAGCCCCATGATAGCCTGCACCACTATCGCCTGCCAAAGAGTCCTACAAAACCCGAAAGCCATGAAACACGCTGCAGTAGCCAGCGTTCCAAAGAGGATAACGGGTTTCCGTCCAATTCGATCACTCAGCCTTCCCCAGAAGAAATTCGCTGATGGTCCAAAAATTAACGCGTCAGGAATCATCCTCTCCCCAAACACCGAAACGAACAAGAAGACACGCACTCGCGAACTGAGCTGTAGCAAACGAGCTCGCGACAATCCCAACATACAACCCGACCCTTCGCTGATCTACTTCGGGGAACGCCCCCGTCATCTCCGGAAGATAGGGCGATATGCTGTTCAATGCGGTCTGTTCAGCAAGCGAGATGATAGCAAGTGTGAGAAGCTGCTTTTTCGGTATCGTGGACTGGATATCATCGCTGTTACCTCTGCCTCCACCTGCCTTGCCACTGGTGCCCGCAGAGGCTTTGCTCACACTGCTGCGGTCATCACTGGGGGACTCTAGAGAGCTTTCCGGGGGCCCACTATTGCCGCCGACATGAGCACCTCGAGAAGCCGGGGGTGTAGTGGGGAAGGTCTGGTAATGAACTGGGGACTTGGGGCGCTGCATTGGATTATTTGGCTATCTCCCTGCCAGTGTTGGCACCGGTAGGACGTGGGTGAAGGGTTTTCCAAAGGGCTGACTGTTGGGAACATTGGAGGCTCTGCGAGAAGCAATGGGCTCCTAGGGGTTGAACGAGCGTGCTCTTTGGCTATAATTTACCGGACGTGGAGTGGTGACGTCGTTGCCACGTGCGGGATCTGTTGTGCTCCGGGTGTCACACCCCTCCCACCAACCTCTATCCCGGGGTCCTTGGATGCCTTTGACGTTCTTGTGGGGCGGCTTGTGGAGGACCAGCTAGATTACCGGTACTTTAAGTACGAGTACTCGAGTACCGTATTCGCGTGGCATTCTCGACTCTCGACTCTCCCTTCTCGGGTCTTCGTTGGGTTAGGGTTACCCGTGAAGCTACAGGCGGGGTAGAGATAAGGTAAGAGGAGATCTCAAAGCTAATAAAAGCATCAACAGATGACCAGAAAAGAAGCGATTCTAGTGCTCCGAATAAAAGCCCATGCGTCCTTTATTCCTTAAAGGCGAAGACCTCTCCTCCCCACAGCTCCCGAACCCTGAGGGTTGACAGCACTTTCCCGGCGCCGCAATCACCCGAAAAAAAGGCTACGATCGCGCATGAAGGACGGCGGACACGATTGCATCCCCGATGCGGGGCATGGCCGGTAATGGGTTGAACGCTGTGCGTTGCGGTTTTCATACCAAATTGACAGGTGCTAATGTCGCGCGCCTGGAGAGCTGGCTGCTAGATTATTGGCATGAATAAGCATTTTGAGCGAAGCATGCCTAACCGATGCTCCCAATTTGTCGGTATTTCTGGGATACGTTACAGGCGCTCACCTAGTATGTCCCTCGCACAAGCTCAGAGAGGATTTCTGTCCGTCATAGCCGTCGGAATACAGTCGTCGATCTGGGTTGGTCCGCGCGGATGATGGGGACCCGTGACCCTGGCGTTTCATCGCCCGTGATATGATTACAATCTTCGGTGCTCACTACTGACACATAGCTCTACTCGAGTAATTGGGGCCCTTGGCCCTGGCGTATTTTAGGGATTCGGGAGTATGATACTACATTATCGGGCGGGTTCTCCATCGGGCGGGTTCTCCATCGGGCCTTTTTTCGTGGGTTGGAATTGTGTCTGGGGCTATGGAGATTCGGGGGTTATGTCGGGATCGCACGTAGACTATCATACTCAGAAGAAGTCAAAACATGTCAACAATTGTGTTTTTGAAAAGAATGACGTCAAATCCAATTCTCGTTTCACCGCATAATGAGATCCCGACACTCCACCGAACCGACAACTCCCCTGCCCTCGGCACGAGAGAAAACCTAGATATTACCAGCCGATCCATGGCACAGAATATCACGCCGCACGGTTTTTTTATCCCAGCCGAATGCAATGTTCACACTTTAAAATTGGTCAATAAATCTCCTTTTTAGGAAAACGCAGGAAGATTAGGCATCCTGCCAAGCTGTGTACAGTTTTTTTTTTTTTTGTTAAATCCTAGAATCTATTTGCTTAAAAGTGCAAACCTCCACTATAAGAGCACAGCCCGGTTAAAGCATGGATCCTAGATACAAGGGCACTTCTGCAATAACCGCCTGTAACGATCCCTCCTTGGATAGTTAGTTCTTGGCGACGGGGAATGATACTTCTCTTCTTTCTCTTCTCCTTTCTTCGTCTTACGATAGCACTAGGCCTCTGTGTAATGTGTTCGCAAGGTGCTAATCACGTTATCGGTAAAGGATACGATAGTTGGCAGGTGGCCTACTCTTCCAGAGAGGAGGCGAGAGCTGAGAACTAAAGGAGGCTTCGAGGGTGTACTGGGGAACAAAGAAGTAACCATTCAACCAAGTATATTGAAATACTGTCTGTCGAAGTCTGCCTTTTCTATCATAGAAACAGGCGGTCTTTAAATACACAAATATGTTCATGTCTAGCATGAACGAAACTAATCAAAGGTATCAAGCGATACACTTTGGTAAAACTTCTTAAGTATCAAAGCGATACTTAAAACAAAACATAAAACAAAACCAAGTATCAAACGATACTTAAAACAAACCAAGTATCAAAGCGATACTTGAAACAAAACATAAAACAAAACCAAGTATCAAACGATACTTAAAACAAACCAAGTATCAAACGATACTTAAGACAAAACATAAAACAAAACCAAGTATCAAACGATACTTAAAACAAAACATAAAACAAAACCAAGTATCAAACGATACTTAAAACAAACCAAGTATCAAACGATACTTAAAACAAAACATAAAACAAAACCAAGTACCCGTACCGGTTACACTCTGCCTATGTTACCGATAGTGCAAGACCTTTGTCTTCTATCAGGAACACCTATTGTAAGCTTTCTCTAACTCTTCTTCATAAAGAACTTTCCTTGGCGTAACGATAACGTTGTAATAAAGATAAAGATCGTAAAGGTGTTTTATATTCGTTAAAGTAATAAGTAGGAAAAGTACTTAGAACAAAGCATGAAGAACCTATCCTCCTTGGCTGCCTCGGCCTCCTTATATAGTGTTCTTCCCGCCCATAGACATGTGACCCAAAGTGGTCACATGTGTGAAACCAAATCATAACAAACTAGTCATGCGACCAAAGTGGTCACATGCTCAAAACCCATGACCTCATAGTGAGGTCATGTGTAAAAACTCATAAACCAATCATAACGTAATAAACAGGTCATATGACTCAACTGAGTCATATACGTAAAACCCATGACCTCATAATGAGGTCATGTGTGAAACATAAATCATAAGCGCAGTGCTGGCATAGATAGTCTCATGGCACCTCCCCGGGAGTGCCTCAACATTAAACTATGAGCAATATATTCAACGACCGACCAATTTTATTATTCAAAAGCCTCTAAAACTCACGATTCTTATCTCCATACTTTTCTAACGTACACTAGCTTTATTTATATTTCATTCTACTACCTCATGGCTTTTCTTTTTACCTCCCTTCTCTATCGCAATCCGGCGGTCCATAGGCCTTGGTAAGCCCGTCTGGTTCTTGCCCACGCCCCTCTTGACACACAATTGATAACTTTATATAGGTATACGATATCATAGTTCTGTGCGAAGCAGCTTGTAGTTTGGAAGTTGTAGTGGCGGGATAGCAAGCGCCAATGTTTTACCATGGAATGGCCTTCTGGGGACATTAGACAGCTAGACGGAGTATGGCATATGCTGCTAGCAGAGCAAAAACTTTTGACGGTCCTCAAAATGCAAAGGGAGATAAACTTACCTAGCTTGCAACGAGAAAAATACCATAATATACAGGATATATTTTCGAGGACCGGGTTATAATATATTCTCAAACAAGGTAAATCAACAGCCTCATGAATGAACTACCGTAGAGGGCCTGAGAAGGCAAGCCAAGAGGGCAAGCCGAAAGGGCTGTGTGAACCCTGAATAGCTCACAGAAGCATAAAAAAAAAAAAGGTTGGAAAGGTTGCGGAATTAGTGGTCCCAACCGCATAGTCCGGCCTTGGTTTTGAGAAGCTTGGGTCAGTCCGGGTGAACCCCCCACCTGCCGCCATAACCCGGCGGCGCCCAGGCAACCGCCGGGTCGTGTCTTGGTGCAACCCATGTCAGAGCCGCCAGACGGCGGGCAAAGCCACGCTATCCCGGGTAATGCGAAGATACGGTGCAAAGTGCCTAGGGGTGCTCCACAAACTCCGCAGCAACCGAGCGAAGGGCCGACCCGATTTGGGATATAAATTGCCGGTATAGTACATCATGTGTAAAGTGAGTTGATATACGATACTACATTTATGGAAAGCCCGCAGGCTATCCACTCTTAATCACTCGGAATAGGACAATAGGAGCAATATGGCCCCTGGCGCTATAGATCTCGCTTAAGACAAATCTAGAATAAATTTACGTCATCCACCGATGAACCACCGTGGTACCCAAACATACTGTCCTACCTCAAGACACTCTATACCATTCTTCACACAACTCCCTAACCACCACAGATGAATATGTATTAACCGGGTTATTTTATAGACAACTAGTCCTACTGAATGATTAAATATTTTTTTGGCAATGAAACACAAGCGGTCCCTTGAAACATTGGCCCGCATGTGACCCAGAGTGCACCCGGCTCTGGTTTGGAAAAGCTGCTTTCCCACATTCCGGCCCGGCCGTCCCTAAAAAAGCATAGGTCAGTCGAACCGTACTCAAAGCTGGGCAGACTGGCCGTTCGGGGTCGCTGTGTGCAATTATTATATATTATAGAAACGCTAGGGTCATGTAAAGGACGCGAGTAAGAAGAGTCACGAGATTTGGCAGCTTTCTATCGGTAAAATTTGTACTTTGTTGAATATGATCATATCGAATTACGAATCTAGAACACCAAGCTAAGGGTTTTTGAGTTTCCTCCCAGAGTGAACTCATGTTGTCGAAGCTCTGAACTTGTAGGTTTAATTTGAGGAGGGGCCGATAATGGACTGACAAGATCGGTTAGCTTCCACGATCTTTTGAGCTTCCAGGGTTCAGTATGGTGATTTTGGAAATGGTGGATATACCATGTACAATACCTTTGCCCAACTAAAATATATATTATGACACGCAAGCACACTACTATATTTATCCATCACCCGAAATTCGGATTCTAGTGGTATACCATCTTAGCTTGGGGTCGCCACATCTCTCCACCACTCAATAGATTCTTCATAATCCTACAAAGTTCAGGCTGTGATCACTGCGCCGTCGTGCTTCCCTAAGTTGTGGAAAAGGGTAGAGTGCGCCCAATGATTTGGTGATTTGAGAGGAAGCAAACAAAGCGAAAAAGGGTTTTCCCGGGCACAGAAGGCGATGTTCGCGAACTCCAACACCATACCCCGACCTGGCCCATCTATCCCCCTTGTTGGCCTAGTTTTTGAAGTAGATATCTGGGAATTCCGACGTCATGAAATATCACTCGTGAATTTCCCATCCTCTATTGTTGAAAATGGCAGTTAAGCACCCGTAGCTCAGGCTGGAGGCTACAGTGGTGTGCGTACCTCTCAGATGAGGACGCGTAAGCAGTGAAAATTTTTCTTCTTATTTCTCCCTTATATTTCTTTCTCCTCCTTTCTTTCTC